TGGGCGTCCCATGGGACTGATGAAAGACCGATGCAAAGTACCCATTTAATAGGTTGGCTTTTTCCTGGGCGTCAGATGTCAGCTGTCCCATCTGGTTCAGCAGGGGTCCAATGTTGCCCTTGCTTTTCCTCTGGCTCCCCACATATCTGAAAAAGGACTTTTTATTGTCCTTGATGCTCGAAGCTAGTTGGAGTTCAGTTGCAGCCTTGGCTTTCCTCGTTTGCTCCCTGCAGGACCGGACCAGTGCAGAATAATCCTCCCTGGAGATGGATCCCATCCTCCATCGGCTTTTCTTTTTAGGCTTAGGAGGTCTGCTAGGTCCCTGGAGAGCCGGGGGGGCTGCTGTGCCCTCTTGCTGCCTTTCCTTCAAGATGGAACAGACTTAGCTTGTGCATTGAGGTTGCTCCCTTGAGGAGCAACCACCCTTCTTGAACTTCCCTCTCCCTGACACACTGCTGGCTTATTTCCAATTTATTGTCCACTGTAACCCCCAGGTCCTTTTTGGCAGAGCTGCTGCTTAGCCAGTTAGTCACAACCCAGTTGGAAAACCACTGCTCCAGTGCAACAATTCTCAGCCTGGGTGCCCCGGGCTGCCACCAGATCCTTTCAAGGGTGCCAAGGATATGCATATAAGCTAAGCAGATAAGCCAGTCCCAACGGCAGGTCGCACTAACTACTGAAAAGAACCAGAAGGAGACACAGGACACTACAGCACCCCTTTTGGGCATGCTTGGGAGGGACTGATCATCACACATAGCAGCTGCTCTCGGGACCCCTCTGCAGAAGCCCAGCCAGGCAGGCTCAATGCTTGCTCACATCTCAACAGCGCCCTTACAGCTGAGCCCCGCGAGCCGCAGAGCCTGCATTCTTTGTGGCAGAGATAATCACCACCGACGAACGGTGCATTCCCTGTACCGTTCTCAGTCATGTTGTTAATGCACCATTTATTAGAGGGAGCAGCCTCTATTATTCCCCTGATTTCCTCTGGGGCCCTCTCTGAGCACATGCTCAGGGCTCTCGCAGGGATTACATTGCTTGGCCTTATTTTGCCTCAGTCATAAAAAATAATCCAAATGGCTATAAACAGTGATGTCATTCCCTAGGAGGGCTGGTAAGTATTTGAAAACATTATTTGCATTCACCACGAGCAAAATTCAAGATGTTGCCTCTTCTCATTACTGGCTTCAAAAAGCCTTAGCCTCTGCGGGCCAGATTTTCAAAAGAATCAAGGTGTCTGACTTGTGTTCGTGTCAGCGGAAGGCATCTGCCTCAAACCTGGGACAATCTGGCTCTTTTTAGGGATTTAACTCTCACTGATTTCTCTGGAAGTGAAGCACCTAAATGCCTTTTTTTAAAAACAGACCTGTATATCTAACAGCATCTGTCAACTACTCCTTCTGGTCCAATATCATGGTAGGATGGACATTTTAATACATCAAGAAGCACCTTTCAGAGCCAGGTTATGCCTGGACCCAGGCTTCTTGTTATTTGTAGTGCTTCAGGTTTCCCTAAGTGAATCAGAGCCCCTGACATGCCTTTGTTTTCAGCTCCAAACTGAACTTGCAGGCGGCAGACAGGCGATCCGATCCAAGGAGCCCGGTGTCATGCAGGTGTCAGGCGTATAGTTACTCCGTTCTGCAGAAACACTTGGAAGAAAACACCACAGCAGAGTCTGGGGAAAACCTCTGGAAAAATAAGCTGCCCCACTGGCTACATGCAGTACCCTGCTATATGAGGATTAGCCTACACTGCTTTCTGTGCATGCTCCAAGTAAAACCACCAAGCCAAAGCTTATTCCTGGTCCTCTTCCAGCTTCAAGACTGTTTACTCAGCTTAGTAATTAGAAACACTCAACACCATCATGAAGCTTCATGCAGAAAGCTAACTCCAAAAATTGTTTAACCCAACCTAGAAATAGTCTGAAGATCTAACAAATCCAGCGATTTTGTGACACTGCCAAAAGAAGTGATGCTGGGTTACAGGACCCTCCACGCTGGTTCCAGAACTTGAATTCACTCCTACCTGACTTCAGAGGTAACACTCAAAACTCTCATGAGCCATGAAGATGCATGGTGCAGTTCACCACTCCTGATTTACACCAGGGAAACTTCCCCTGAAATCCCTGGTGGTGACACTCAAGTGAAGCTGGAGTAATGATGAAGGAGTAGGATGAGACAACCCCATCAGCAAGGTGTGAAAATAGCGTGGATGCAACTCAGAATGATCCTAGCTTTCAAACACAAAGACAAAGGCTCTGAATATAATCACACTGACATCCTCTAATATAATCACTCTCTCAGGAAGGAGCCCTGGATACCCTCTGCTGTGTACTTGCAGCAACAGAAAAGATCAATGACCCTAAGGATGGTAAGACCATACAGCTGGAAGGGATCTCACCAGGTCATCTAGTCTAACCCTTTGCTCCAGGCAGGATCATCTCTGACTAAACCATCCCAGCCAAGTGTCTGTCCAGCCTGCTCTTGAAAATTTCTAGGGATGGAGAGTCCACAACTTGCCTAGGCAGCCTCTTTCAACTCTTAACCACCGTCGCAGTGAGCAGACGGAGACAAGATAAGGATGCAGAACTTGAATTTAGGGTTCATGCCATTGCAATCTTTCTGGGGAAAAAAATTCTGCCCTCTTGCCTAAGAGAAGTGCTGGAGGTGGGAAAGGACCTAGCAGTCCAGATGTACATACACACAACTCATTCAGTAACTACTGGGATTCATTGTCCTCTTCCTGTCTGTCTATAATCCTTATCTGCATCCTATTCAAATTTACACTGTATGTGTCCAGGGCAGAGTCTGGGTGTAACCTAGTCAGTGAGACGCCATGTACATTGGAGGGGTCTCAAAGCATATTTGTTTTCCTCCAAGTGTATGCATGGGTGCACACAAGTATGTGCATCACTTATGCACACTAATAGATTGATATATATGTAGATAGATGGATGGAAACCCTCCCTACATTCACAGACACTGCGTGCAAGGTAGATCTCCCTGACTAAAGCTAAGTCAGACAGAAAAACAAGGAGTGTGACGGGCCATTGAATGGATCTCAAAACTGGGGAGCATTTTCTTTGCCTGCCAGCCTCAACTAGGTTTTCCCAGAGACCAGGAAAACTATTTGGATTGTTTTGTTCAATCATTGTTTCTTATTGCTTCACAGCAAATGGCAAATCAATGCAATCTGCATCACAGTATACACGACCTACACCCCCATCTGCATCACAATACACTCCACAGGAGCTGTGATGGAGTAAAGTGCTCGATGATAAGGAGAGGCTTTTGAATGTCTTGAAGATCCAGGAGTTGTGGGTCACAAACTTTGATTTGGTAGCATTATGGGGGAAGCATTTCTCTCTGGGCTGGAATGAGCATGCTTATCAGATAAATTGCTTTATGAATTAACCTGGCTCCAAATTCCTAGCTCCACATCCCTTCATTTTCCAGTAAAATAATGCTCTTTAATCAGTGCATCGCCGTGCTGGGAAGGAGGCAGTGTCTTACCACGAAGTTTGATTTTTTTTTTTTTTTTAATGACTCAAACCCACTAATTTGGACAGACGGATGATTCTGCCCATATCTGTCAATTGGTTGGTTCCCGCAATGCAAAACACATCTGTATGCCTGTTTCCATTTAGGCTGTTATTTCAGTGCCTTGGCCAAGCAGAGATTTCCCGGATTTGAACAGAACAAGGAACTCCTCCAAAAAAGAGCCTGATCCACTGGCTTTCTGTTGACTCCAATAGGCTCTGGAGTAGGCTTAAAAGAAAAGCAGAGACGCCTTCCACAAAAGCCTCTTCACCTGAACCGCCATGGACTGGCTTGGACAGAAGAAGAGCAGGGAACTGGCTAGACTTTGAGCAGACCAGTTATGATTGACACACACCACTTTCTGCTGGTGGAAGTGAACTCAGGATTAGTTAACTCCAGCAGAAACAAAGCCTCAGCTCAACGAGGACTGTCTTCTCCTACGCTGCCATGCTATGGAGACACAGACTGCCATCCCTTCCTTTTAACTATGAGGTTTGACATCTCAGCAAAGTGCCTGTTTTCTTTGGCATCCATATGCTTGTCCACCCCAATCACATTTACTCTTTGCTCCTTCATCTAGCGAGGGAAAAGAGAACAAGCCTCTATCAGAGCTGTGCTTCCAATTTTGTTACTGAGAAATGAGAGGGTTTTCCTCATCTTCTTCTGCTCTGGGATACTGACCTAGACGGATCAATCCTAAATCACTTCACCTACGTGCCGTTACCCCTGGTCCACCAGATCTCTCTCCACCAAAGATAAACCATGAAGGCAACCTGTCTTTTGGGGAAAGAGGAGGCACAGCACATTTCACTGCCTGGCAAATCCTGTTTGTGGTGCACGAAAATAAAAAAGCCATGCAAATATGCAGTCAGCATGTGGGAATGGCTGCACTTCAACTCGGGAGAGGGGGATCCAAGTCCAGATTCTAAAGGATTGTGCAAGTCATGGCATCCTTTTAAAGAAAGTCAAATCAAAGCATCCTCATACATTTGCACAGCAATACTAGGATCAAGGCTGGTTTGTCCACAGTGCATTTGAGGCTTCTAGTCCCTGAATGTTGCCATCAGCTTACATACAGCATCTGTAGCAGTGCTCAGATTGGGACAGGTTAGACATTTGTTTAATAAAAGGTTTAATTCAGTGACAAATGCAGTTGGGGGAGGGAAAATAAACTCTTTATGAATTTGGGCCAAATGTGTTTTGGCCAGCACAAGCAAAAACAAAGAGAGAGATATGGAGGGAGAAACAGAGAGAGAGAAATGTTTTAAATAGTGAAAGATTTATTCTGATGCATTTTTAAATGAAACATTTGGACTGATTTTTTGAAAACCAGAATGATCTTTTGTTTCAGAATGTAGCTTGATTTAATTTAAAAAAAAAAAACACATTAAAACACCCAAGAACTATATAAACTTTTTAAACTTTTGACTTTTCTCAAATTTTCCCCCTTTTTTTGCCCCAAATTCATCCCCATATTAGACCAAGTTAATAGGAAAGAGCAGATGCATTGATACGTTTTATTACCTGGAACACAATGTGATTTTTGATGAGCATTAGCTATACATTACCTGTGCTACAATACAGATCCTCTCTGCCCTGACTCTTTATTCCCCCCAAGAAAAAAGCCATGTGTCACGTGTAACATTTTGTCCCTCTCCGATAAAGCATCACAAAGCTCTAAGCAGCAAAATTAACTGGTCTGCATAAACTAGGGGTGGGCAAAATGTGGCCTGCAGGCTGGATGCAGCCCATCAGGTCATTCTAGCTAGCCCATGGGGCCCCCAAAAAAAGCTAGAAAGTTAATATTTATCTGCCCCTGTCATGTGGCTCTTGATGGCTTGCCAAAACTCAATAAGCCGCCCTCCACCCAAAATAATTGCCTGCCCCGGGCATAAACCCTTCTGTGCCCCGCTCTCATTCACACAATCGCAGAAAAGCTTACAGCCCATTGTAAACTCATGCTTATCATACTGAGCAGGGTCATACTGAGAAAAAACAGGGTGGTTTCAACATGCCATGCCAAAATATATGTCCAGCTGCTTTTGATTGCTTGGGACAGCATCCCAGAAATGGGCAAATATTCCTGACATGAAGTGTCCAGTGTCTCTAAGCACAAGCCTGAGGGTTGGATGGGATGGGGGGGTGCCTTTCCCTCTGGCACTCAACTGCTTCAGCACCCCATATCCCTCCTCCGGGGATGCCTGCTGGAGACAACCACAGGGCCTTCACTCGGGGCAGTGAGAACTGCATAGTCTAAATCCATTCATCCCAAAGATTTCTCAGCCCCGGGGCTCATGACACGTACGCTGGCTCATACTCACTTGGTTTTTCTATCTGAGCTGCCAATGCAGAGATGCTGGGGAGGTACTGCTTTCCATTTCTTTGCTTCTAATACAATCGCTTCTGCATTAACCAGGCCGAATCCATATAGATGGCTAACTGAAAAGACAGAAGACTCAGAAACCTACTTACTGAAAAGTAATAACACCTAGGAATAACCCGTGGAGGGGCAAAAAATGCATTTGACTGGATTCTCAGAGGCAAAAAATAGGCCAAGGAAGATACAGATGTCAGCTGTGATAGCCCAGACCAAAGGAAATACTTCTTGTTAGATTCCCATCACCATCAAGTTTACCCTTCTGCAAAGGTTAGCACTTCTGCAACCCCTAAAGATCAAGTTAACCCTTTTGCAGAGGTCTTCCAGGTGAAAAGCCTCCTGCTCCATATTCACGCTCTGGGCAAGCAAAGAGGGGAACCGGTACTGAGTGTGAGCTCAACCCACAGCTGTCCAGCAGCTGGAGCTTTCTGCGCTGCCTACGGGAGTGTCCTGCCCACCCGTTCGCCCTCCCGCGGTGGAGGCCAAATCCCAGAAATGAGGTGAGAAGTCTGCTTCGAGCTGGCCTCCTCCACAAGGGCCACTCTCAGGCTCAGATGTGCCGCTTGGCGTGTGCTCGGGGTGGTCCAAGGCGGCAGCATCACCTCTTGTCTGGGATTTGGATTTGGCACTGGGCCCAACTGGCACTTCTTGGCAGCAACCTCGGGGGTGGCATGGGGGCAGCGGGAAATCGGTGCCACGGCGCAACAGTGCTGGAGGCTCTCATAAACAGTGCCGCAAGCCTGGATTTATGGTGCTGAGGCAGGGACGTGGGCATATCCCCTCTGCACTCGGGAACTCAGGCACAAGCAAACTAGCTGAGTGGCTCATGGTGACATGCCAAACCTCTGTTGGAGACAGGGAAAATCCAGGTCTCCTTAGGAGGAGCCTCCCCACACAACCATCCTTCCTTTTAGAAAGCAAACAGCCCTTCTTCCCTGGCTCTGGGGCATGACGTTTAATAAGATCCTGGACGGGGTTTTATGTTCATCTTTGCGCTGTCGCCTGTGACACCTTATCCAACTGAGCAAAGGTAGCTAGGCAGAGACTTCTGGATTGGGCCAGCAGTCTGGTTTAAGGAGAGCGATTCAGTTCTCCAAACTTTTGATTTTTATTTTATGATTTCCTAACGCCGCTCAGCACAGGCCAGCTGTTGTCTGACAGCACAGGCAGCAGATGCTCAAGTCCCCTGGTCTGGGAACATCCATGGATAAGCAGGCTTTTGCAAAGCTTATCAAACTGCAAATTATCCGCTAACGGTTACAATTTGCCAGCAAACCTTTGGTGAGAATAACAAAGAGGAATCTTGGAAATGTAGGGAAGAGCCCTGCCAGGGCTCAGGCTCCTGTGAATATTGCTGTGTGCTAGCCCTTGTGATCCTTCTCTATGCAAATATTCTTGCAACTAAAATCTCCCCTGCCCCCCCACGCATTTGCAAATACATGAAGAGAAGGCAACACTAACACCACCAAAGGGAATCAGCAGATTTTCGTTGCAAGGACTTTTGTAAAGGCTCCCACTGAATTTGCCTAGCACTGGTTGTGTGATCCTTGGTGCCTTCCAATGGGTTTCAACTCTCAAGTATTCTGCTTATTTCTATTATTCCAAGTCTCAGAGGGGCTGGCCAAAACTGCTGCAACCAGGAGGTTATATCTGAGGAGGAGATCAGAATCCTTTCATATGTAAAGGGCCCCAGAGGAAATGGAAGTAGATGAGAATTAAAGCATTGCACCAGAGCAGACAGGATTGTCCCAATACCTACATGCAGTGTCTAAGATCTCTGCTATAGAGATGCTAATAAATCATTGGACTGGACTCTTAGAGGTGGCTGCAGTAAGACAGGCCATCTGTGTTTTGAAGCCATTCTTATGTCCCAGCCATTATCTGAAGGGAGTAACAAACCAGAGAGGACTGCTCTAGATAAATTTTCCACCATTACTGACTGACTATTTTGGCAGCCGTCACAATTTTTAACTCATTTGCTCTGGACTCCCACTGGCATTAACACGAATTACACACAGGCAGTTTGACTCCCCCAGTTAGACCAATACACACAGTGTTACTGTGGTTACTCTATTCTTGCTAATGCAGTCACCCCCACGGAGCCCAGCTGATTTGGTGTTTGATCTGACTTTGCCAAGGTGCAAGGCTTTGCAGTAGTACGGCACAGACCCTCCCAAAGGGCTTCTCCCCGGAGTGTGCAGACAGTGACACCAATGGCCTTGCTCTTCACCCTCTTCTCCACATATCGCTGTCTCTGA